GCATACAAAAATTGACACATGCAATTTATAGGTAGGTAGGTAGGTAGGTAGGTAGTAGGTAGGTAGGTAGGTAGGTAGATAGATAGATAGATAGATAGATAGATAGATAGATAGATAGATAAATAAATAGATAGATAGAGGTGGCTGGGGGAAGGCAGGCAGCAAGGAACACAGGAGCAGAACAGGGGATGTGCAAAGCAGGGAAGGAAAGAGAGGTCAGCAAACAGGCTGTAGAGGTGGGTGAGAGCAGTGAGGGGCTGTGCAGGGAGAGCAGGCAAGGATGGGGCCTGCAGGACCAGGAATGGAGAAGGCAGTGCAGCAGCAACAAGGCACAAAAGTGGGAGGTGGGAGAGCTCACGGGCTGTGCCTTGGGGTCTGCATGAGTGGATGGCAGGAGGGAAGGAGCTGGATAAGGAATGAGGGGTGCAAAACCAACAGCGGGAGGTGGGAGCAAGCAGCTCTGCAGAGCACAGCAGGAGAGATGGGGGAAGCCCAGACATGCTGTGATGCATTGTTTTTAATGTGCTCTATGGCAATTGGACCTGTTCCTGCAGCGTGGGACTGAGTTCAGTATGAGCCAACGCATCTGTCTGACAGGCTGTCCTCGGGAGCTGGGACTGAAATAGCCACTGTCCCGTGCCTGAGGACAAGGTTGTGCAGCCCTCTCTTTGCATGCCTGTAGTTTTCCCTGCACTCACTAGAGTGCAAGCAAATGTTAAACTATGGTCTTTGTCCTGCAAGTGGATGAGCACCACCTGCCACATGTTGCTCCTGTCCTTTCAGCAATTGTGCCAATGTGCCCCAAGCGTGGAAACGTGAGAAACAGAACAAAGTTCCCTAGGCTGCTGCTGGAAATAGTTAATTGCTTGGAAAGGAAAAAAGGACACTTAGAAAGGTTTCCTCTTTTAAAACTGAGAAAATAAATCCCTTAGGTTAGGAAAGATTGAAAACCTTGTGTGCAATCTAGCTGCTGCTGAGTAAGCTCCATCTGCTCAAAGCCAGGAACCTGGGTGCCAGGTTCTACAATGACAGAGTGAATCCTGCTCCTCTAAAATGGGTGCTCCCAGTTCTCATTTTCCCTCAACTCAGATCATGAAGTGAACAAACCTTTTAATAATTATGTTGATTGAGTGATGAGTTTTCATGGCCTATTGGTGAAGTGGTTTATTCCCTGCATACAGGATTTCAGTGGGGCCTTAGGGAGGGGAGTTTGGGTTTTGTGTTAGGAAGTGGTGAAGCACTTCATCAAATCATGGAGTCACAGAATCATTTGGGCTGGAACAGACCTCTTAGAGATCATTGAGTCCAAGTGTTAACCTGACACTGCTAAGACCACAACTAAACTGTATTCCTAAGTGCCACATCTACACATCTTTTAAAAACCTTCTGAGATGGTGGCCACTTCCCTGGGCTGCCTGTTCCAATGCTTGACAACCCTTTTGGTGAAGAAATTTTTCCTAATATCCAAGTGGAGGACTCATCCTAAACAGCAGTCAATGCAATCAGTGTAAACCTGCCCTCCTGTACTACATATGGCTCACACTCTACTCTCCTGCCTTCTGTGATGGAAGGAAGTTCACTGTGCCACCTCACTAGCAGGAGGTTTCTTCCTAAACTGTTTATAATGGTGTGATTGAGAACATAGCCTGGGACATACAACGGATGATCAGACTGCTATTTTTCGCTTGGGCTTTTTTTTTTCTTTTTCAGAAATCCAAACGTATAGTGCCTGAGAATGGGACTATGGAACAAGAACAATGTGTTTCAGGCAAAAAATGCTATTAACAGGAAAACGCAATCGCTCCTGTCTTTGCTGCAAGAATTCCTCTTGGAAGCTGGAACCTGTGATCTGAAGTGTTGAAGGGGTGGGAAGCTTCAGCTGTGGCTGATGCCCACAGGAACTGAGTGCTGACCAGCTGAATGCTTGCATAGTGCAAAATACTGCCAGAAAGGGAATCCTAAATTTCAAATTAGCGAGTACTTTCAGTCTTAAGGTCTCTGTATCTCTATTTTTCCTCCTCAAAAAGGTAGTAACACCTTCATGTCCCCTGAAAGGACCAATGGGCAATTAAATCCATTGGTAGTCTTGCTGTGCTGAAGAATGGGAGCAAAACAAAATGCTGAAAGTCTATTAAATGTGTACAATTTCTCCTATACACTGAAGAAGAGTAAAGGTCCTGGATACTCCTGGGTCTAGGATCAAAGTATGTGATTACAGAATTATGTAATTAAGGACTGTGTTTCAGTACTCATCAGCAGGCAACAACAAATATTATTCCCACATTTTCTGACCTGTGACTACTTAGCTTTACAGTTTTAGCATCTTTTTTTATGTGTGTGTGTAATTTGCCATGTGCTACAGCCTCATTACTTTCATTAAAATTCTCCTAGAGAGAGTTGATGGGTCTTCACCCTTGGCCATTCCCCTATAAAGAATGGGTTCTAAATTACCAGGAGTAACTTACAGGATCAAGAAAGGGTACAAACCTCTCATAACCTCACCCAACAGTGCCAATTTCCCCCTGCTTCAGAGGAGACATGTGCAAGAAAATACCTTGTCCATCTTTAGTAACCTCTTTAAATTATCTTATCTCATGGCTAGAATGAATATCACTGACACTGTAAAAAAAGATCACCACTGGCCCAGTGTTGTATCATGCCTCAGCAAAGAGTAGCATTGAAGAAAATATTCAAGTTACTAAATCTTCCTTTGGAATATTATTTTCGAAGTGAGTAATGCATTTGCTTTTTGAAGTTCCCTTGAGTTGAAAAAAAATTATTTATACATAGAAAACTTTAAATAGACAATTCGGGTGCCTGTATGTTTGTACTTTGTATTCTGGACTCTCAGCCCAGAAAAATTCAGAGTTCTTATTGTATTATTGTTCAAATCTTATTGTGTTGAACATATATCAACGTTGTAGCACAGTTCTAAAAACATTTCAGTTTCAATCAGCATTTTCCAACAGAAAATCTGTCCAGCGCAAATCTCCTAACCAACTCCATCAACAAATGTTTGCAAGAAAATGTTGTCTATGAAAATGCACTCAAGGAAGATAATTTTATTGTACTGCTTCTCTGGCTAACTCCAGTGATAACAATGTGAGCCATTTTCCTAGATAGATGGAAAAGAGAAATAAAATTGCTTGGAGTGCTATTTTATACCTATAATCAATGCAAATGTCAGCTCTATCAAAAAGCATTGATGATGTAAAGTTGAAAGAAAAAAAGGTACTTATGATATTTTCCTCCTCTGTCACAGAATTTGGCCCAGGCTTCATTCTGCAGGTGCAGCTGAAAGGGGGAAGAGAAGTTCTACTGTCCCACTGACTTGTCTATATGCAGTTGACCCATCATGGTGTCTTATACCAATAAGGTAGCACAGTTAGCTCCATAAGCAAAGCATCTTTTATTTTATCCAAAGATTTGGTGAATATAAATGACCTGCAAATGTTTATTTTGAGAGGTACAGTATTCTTCAGTCTGCTTTATTAATGTATTTTGTGTGTTAGGGAAGACTAAGCTTATAAGTTTTTGTCCCACTTCTTGAGCAAGATAACTGCATGAAGTTCATATAGACAAATGATCATAGAAAAAAATGTAACTTCTTTATGAAATCTTTATGAAAACCATGCTCAATCTTCTCTCTCCATTGTCAGTAAATCAATATGCATAATAAAACTAAATGAGCAATTTGGCTAGACATCTGTTCATGTGTCCAGTCCATACTAACCAAAAAGAGATGATGTTGGACAGTAACAATACTTTGCATTATTTTCACTTACACTTCTGTTAAATATTGGCTTGACTATCTGAAACACACTGTGTTATCATTTAAGAAGGTCAATATATGTTGTTATAGATGTGTCCTTCTCTCTGCGTCTCCCTCTCTCTCACAACAGAGGTTTGCAGGTATTGCTGGCCTTCATGTTTCAGAAAATGTGACAGTTCACCATCATTCACTGCTAATAGAGAGAAAACCCAAACGGTGCAAAGTTTAGCCTTTCTCTCTGTCATTTCTTACACTGGAAGATACCAGTCTATAAAAAAACAGTATCAGAATAATATACCATCTATTAGCAGAAATGACAATGTAGACATGCATTTAGAATTAAGACTTGAAGGGCACTCTCCAGCTGCACATCAGTCAGCAACAGCGAGCAGTAGCCATTAATAGAATAGCCACCAGAGGACTTCAGTTGCTCAGGCTGTCAGAAGTGATGAAGGCAGAGCCTCACAGCTCACCCAGGGCTTGTTCCCCCTAAAGCTCGGGGGGACTCTGACCACTCCTCTCTATGGAGCACAGTTCTCCATGTGAAAAAAAATAAATCCCACAGGAGCTCCAAATGGACATGTCAAGCTGATTTTCCCTCTGATTGTCACAGGAAAAAATAAGGGAATTATTAAATAAACCAGCTGTGTGATTTGTTGCAGAGAAGACATTGCCGGGGCAGTGCTCCTCACAGGTGCTGGCACGCCGACCTCCTCCCCTCAGCTGCCTTTCCACCGACCCCAAGCGCCTGCAGACACCTTGGGGGGATCACAGCATGGTTCTGCTAGAAAACCGTGAAAGTGAGAGAAGTCTGCTGAACAACAGCAAGGGTGTTTTATTTCCAGCTTCTGTGACAGCTCCGGATTAAATGGATTTTCATTGTTCTTTCCCTGCTGCAGTTTGGACACAATGTCGGTGTAAGTGCATCCGGGGTTTTATTTGCTGCCGCCCCCCCGTCTGCCAGGCTGGTATTCTCCACTGGCCGCCTGCTCTAAATATGGCCATGGCCAGTGTGTCAATAATCCCCCTCTTTAAGGGGCCTGCAAACACTAGTGTTGGGACATTCTTGCTGTTCAGATGTCTAGCTGACGTCTGATGCTTAAAACGGAGCATGCTTTCATCCCTTCGTGCATTGTCGTAAGCCCCTGATGATTACTCTTAAAAGGGTGTCTCTGCTATGCTGGGAAACAGTTGCTGACCACACGAGACACAGCTTGCTTGCTTCAGCCTTGTTGAATGCCTAGTCACTTCAGCTTTGTACCAGCCTGACCAAGGACCATGTCTACCTTTGGCTACAGAAGAGAGCTCAGTAAATATGAAGACATTGATGAAGATGAGCTCCTCGCTTCTCTCACCGAAGAGGAGCTGAAGGAGCTGGAGCGGGAGCTAGAGGACATAGAGCCTGACCGAAACCTTCCAGTGGGACAACGGCAGAAGAGCCTGACGGAGAAAACACCGACAGGGACTTTCAGCAGGGAAGCACTCATGGCCTATTGGGAGAGGGAGACCAAGAAACTCTTAGAAAAAGAGAGATTGGGTGCATGTGACAAGGTAAGATGCTGAGGCATTTGCTGCTTCCTGTAAATATATGGGTTTATTCTACACTGGCACTTTGCTGACTGATTTAATTTCCTTTCAGTCTCTTTTAGCATTTTAAAGAACACTGTTAGCCATCCTTCTGTGCCTACTAAAGCACTGTGTAGTAGTAGCTCAGAGAGTTTTTGCTCTCCCTGGAGGTACATCAAATGCTCAGTTCTGAACAGAAGAAACTGCCGTAAAAGCTATCATTAGTGATTAAAATAGGAAAAATATTAAAGGGCATGTTAGGAATTATTGCCAAGTAGCAATGTGGGCTTTGGGATAGCATTTGGTTTTCTTATAAAGCTACAGAAAGTGCCTTTTCCTATCCTAAAAAAAAAATAAAATATCAGTATTGACTGCTGCGAAGCATGTCAGGAAGATAATTTTGAATTACATGTTGTCAGAAGTTGAGTAAGTGGCCACCAGGGTTTGTGCTCACTGGAAGGAAGCTGCACTGCAGTCAGCAGCTTGTGTTGCTTTGTCCCTCCTGAGGATCCTTGGCACAGCTTGGGAGTCTTCTGGCAACTGTTGTCAGAGGGTAGCTGTAAGTTATTTAAAAAGTGACCTGAGGTAGAGTCATCAGCCAAACCATTTAACTGTATTCCCAAAAATACAACCAATAGTATGTGTTAGGCAACTCGTCCCCCAAAATAAAAATGTTAATAATAAAAGTCAGTCCCTGAACTGCAAATGAACAGTACAGCTGGGCAGGAGTGAAGGGCTCAGCCTTGGCAAGCAGTGAGTACTCTCAGTCTCAGCTGATGTCCGTGTTGGCACCCCCAGGGCCCTGCTAAAACTATTTGTGAGACTGGGCTCTATCAAAAAGCAACTTCTGTTCTCATGATGGCTTCATGTAATTTCCAAGCAAAGTGGGGACTTTTAAGCACTGCTTCATACCAACCTCTGACTATGTTTATAGGGACACATTTTCCCACACTTAAGTAGAAAATAATGCAACAAAAGCAAAGACAGCAAAACTGAACTCAGAACCCCTGAAAGCCTTGATTCAGGAGCTTGGTTCATTTGCAAGGAAATAATTGCAGTTTGTACTCTAGATAAGCTGTTCTTCTAGAGAAAAGTCAGGTGGATTAAATTACCCTGCAATATCCAGGATTTCTGTACATGTAAGTGTTTTCTCCTGCTTGTGAATGGTGATTTAACATCTTTGCAGGCAAGTGCACAGACCACTAGCTGTCATCAGACCATTAGTATCAGCTTGCAGACATTGACTTCACTCCCTGTTTGTCAAATCCTAGGGAGGCAATGGCAAGATTAATGTTCCAGCTGAGCCTGGAACTTGAAACCTGGACAGTTCCAAAAAACCCTCTGAACAGGTCTAGTTTGGTGTCTTATATAATGTCAGGATCTCTTCTTTTTTTTCCCCTTTTTCCATGTCTATACAGCATCAACGATGTGTACTGGCTAAACCTCAAAGTGATGACAAAAGTCTCTATACTTTTTGATCTAAGAAGAAACTTTCTAAATGCATCCTTAAATATGAAAATGTTGACATGCAGATGTAGAGGGCACAAAGGCTTTCTCCACTAAAGGCAGAATAAAGCTCCTTGAAAGCAATTGTCTTCTCACTTTCAGCTGTTCTGGAAGTTAGACACCTTATCTAAGATGGTTATCCATGTTCCTTCTATGGTTAGTGGTGAGAGATCAGCCCCTCCAGAAGGCAAACAACCTGCAGATAGCCTTTTAGGGCGACTAACTTGTCCTCCAGAGATACTTACCTCTGCATTGACTATCTTGGTCCTAACTTTTTGTCAAGTTACTACTACAAAGTAAGGTGAAGCCCTGCAGGCTGCCTGCAGCAGTCCTGATCAGCAATGCTGCCACAGTAACAGAGTACATCTTTATGGATCTGCAAAGAGAAGAGTATTCCATTTCAAAATTGCTGTGCAGATTGTTATGACACCAGACAATGTATGTGACAGAAAACTAAATTCCCCCTTTGCACCCAGAAACACCACTAAAAAAAAATCAGGTATTTTTTTATTGTTCTAGTGTCATCAAATATATTAACAGTGCATTTAGAGGCCACACCTTCTGCTCATCTGCAGCTGTGTTGAAGGCTGTAATATATATTCCTAGGTAGATAAAAGCAGAGCCATGAAGACAGGCTCTTGGATACCTGGTGTTTTCAGCTTTAAAACTCTACAGATATTTAGAAGCTACAGACATAAATCTTAGTCCCATAATAAACCTGACTTAAACACAGTCCTGTTTCAGCATGGGGGCCACCCTGTGCATGATCCACAGGAGAAGCAATGGGGCTAGATCCTGCAAGATCTCCATGTGCAGACCAGTGTGACAGGACCCTGCAAGCCAATTCTCAGGAATGTCAGGCAGGAACAGCTCAATGTCCCATTTATTCGGAGTCACAGTTCTGCAAACATTACGATTAGCATCTGTTTTGCATGTGTCCCAACACAGAATTCTGCTTCAGACTGTGAGGCAGTAATATGCAATCTGTCACTACCATTATTTTAACCTTTCCCTGTATTTTGAGAGCCAGATAATAAAACAAACCTAAAACATCGCAGGTTGCCTAAAGATAGGCTGTCCTGTTAGTAACACTTTTGTTTTCCAGAAGCACAAGACAGAATCACTGGGTCTTTGCAGAGTGTACTCACTTTGGAAAATACCCTCTAGTACTTCAAAAAGTCTAAAATGCGAATATTGCTAAAGTAGTGCATACAGAACAGTTATATTTCATCCAAAATTTTATGAACAGTAACAATTGTAAATAAAAAGCCATATGCTCTGGTTTGTCCAGTAGACAAAACATGACATGGGATATCTTTTTGGGCAGGAGGTTTAAGGTTGATCACAGAGTGTGAGTTCAGTCATGGTCCATACACCCCTGCAGTGCTACTGGAGTTCTCTGGGTGGAGAGTGAGGCTTTCCTGGCACACAGACCTTTTCCCTTTCCTGTGTGGTGAATTCTCTTCTCCCACCATAACTGCTAAGAGCACCAGGCAGAGCTTTGAGAGGTGACTCCAAATTTGCCTCCTGGTACCCACCAAGCACACTAAAATAATCTTGTGTTTCATAAACACAATCCATTTAGGCTGTAGGCAATGCGTTCTCAGAATTTACAGTATGGCAGCTGACCTGCAGCAGCTGTTGATGAGCACAGTCTTAGCTCTTGGCAAACATGAAGAAATTAGGGGGTTATTGACATGTGATTACTTGTTACCTGTGGAAATGCATGTGAATCCTTTCTTCACAAACAGTTTCTAAGCACGTGCAGTCCATGCAGTGCATCCAGAGTCTTTTTGACATGACTCCTGCGTGCCAGTATACATGGTTACACGTGCAGACTCTATTTGTATTTTAAATCATGGCAATCTTTAACCTTTCTAGATGGACTAACATATGCAGGGGAGTCTGAGCATTGACACAGATGTCTAATCCTCATGAAATGAAGAAGCTTGTTGCTCGTGTCTGTTCTGAAATTGTTGTCTTGTGTTTCTGCTGGCAAGGATCCAAATTATATCCCATTGCAGACATGCCAACACATAGAAAACATGAAGCATGTCCATGTTGCAATATCTTGTATCAAGTTTTCTCTTGGCAGAAATCACTGACATTGGTAATATGGTTGCAGTTCATGCTTAGAGTTTTCTAGAGAGTGTGAAAGAAATAATGTTGAAAAGGTGATAGGTGCTGAAGCATTTTCTGTTCTTTTAACTGTATCTGTTTCTGGGGATTTACTTTTAGCTTTCAGCATTAACTTATGTAGTTTGAATATAATTGTTTTTATGCTAAAAGGCATTAGCTACATTGCTGCAATCATGTTTAACACCTACACCTATGTTCCTGTTCAGGATTTTGAGCAAGAAGAAGAAAATTCAGAAGACCTTCAAGAAGAATGTTTCACAGAAAGCAATAGTGAAGTGTCTGAGGAGGCATATACTGAAGAGGATGAAGAAGAAGAAGAAGAAGAAGAAGATGATGAGGAAGATGAAGATGAGAGTGACGATGAGAATGAGGAAAAGCAAAATGCTGCAGCTGGTGAAAGACCTGAGAATGTCAGAAGTTCTGACCACATCAGACGTAAAAAGTGTAATGGTGCAAAGGACAGTGAAAACTTACTAAATGGCCATGATGGAAAAGACAATGATAATCGGAGCTCAAAAAGCAGTGCCATCCACCCATGTGGGAATCCAACAGTTATTGAAGATGCTTTGGAAAAAGTTAGGAGCAATGACCCTGACACTACAGAAGTCAATTTGAACAACATCGAAAACATCACTTCACAGATGCTTATACAATTTTCTCAAGCCCTGAGGGACAACACAGTGGTTAAGTCTTTCAGCTTGGCTAACACCCATGCTGATGACAATGTGGCAATAGCTATTGCTGGTATGTTAAAGGTAAATCAGCATATAACTAGTCTGAATATTGAGTCAAATTTTATCACAGGCAAAGGTGTGCTGGCCATCATGCAAGCTTTGCAGAATAACAAGGTTCTAACAGAACTGCGGTTCCACAATCAAAGGCACATCATGGGCAGCCAGGTGGAAATGGACATAGTTAAACTGTTGAAAGAGAACACCACTCTGGTCAAGCTGGGATACCACTTTGACCTTGCTGGCCCAAGAATGAGCATGACAAGTATCCTGACACGAAATATGGATAAACAAAGACAAAAGCGTATGCAGGAGCAGCGACAACAAGAGTCAGGTTATGATGGAGCTATCAATCCAAAGACCAAAGTTTTGCAGAAGGGGACACCCCGGTCCTCACCTTATGTGTCACCTAAGAGCTCACCATGGTCCTCTCCAAAGCTCCCTAAGAAATCACTGCCAGAGAAAAGTCAGCCTCCTGCTCCTGCA